GCCTCCAACCTGGGCTTCTGGGTCCTACAGGGTCCAGTTCTGGCCAGAACCCCCACCCGGCGTTCTGGCCAGGGGACCTGGGCTGACCACACCCCCTGCTCAAGGGCTAATGGGTTAATTCTTAGTAATTTCAGCACAAGGGGCCCTGCATTTTATTTTGCACTGGGCCCCTCAAATTCTAAGCCAGTCCTGCCTCCTCCCAGCAGGGAAATTAAGGCCAACCTCACTCCTGGAGTTCACAGAGCAGCAGCAGCAGAGAGGCCGGCTGTGAGCAAGACAGTTTTAAATCCATGTGTAACTCGGGGGATCCAGAAAGAGGAACCTACTAACGGCTGCATCGAATCTCTCATTGGCTGAAGCTTTAGCTACAGGAAAATGGGGGTTTCTTCCCATGGGGCCCTGACAGCTGGTGACACTATGATGACACCATGTGGATGCTGGCCAATGCCCCTGCAGCATGGGGACGCGAGATCCCCAGCCGGGTTCCAGGGGTACCCTCCCCTTGAGTCTCATCAGGAGGCGCGTGTATGTTTGCGTGCGTGCAGTGGCACGCTGAGCTAATTTTCACATCATTCTAGAGCCACGCCTTGGGCAAAACATGAGAAATAATTCTGTTGTCCACCTGTTTTTAAAAGTTGCTCACATTTGCCTAATCTGGAAACTGGGGTGGAGTCGGCCGTAACTGTCTTCCATGCCCACCAGGTGGAGCCACTGTGGTGAGCTGCCAGGGGACCCTCTGACCCAAGGCCACGCCGCCTGCGGCATCTCCTCCCCGCAGCCCTGCAGCCTGCGCTTTGGAAGGTTGCAGTCATCTTTTATACACGTGTGCAGCCCTCATGTTCTCAGTCTTGGCTGGTCTTTCCCTCCTAATTGAGCAGAACTTGGGTCGACAGTAAAAGTGTTTGTCTGGTTGACACTGTCCCTTTCACTAGGATGGACCAGGGAAAGGGCAGTCACAACGGAAGAGTGCCGAGTGCCAGCTGGATGGGTGCCAAAGAATGTGGCATTGAGCCCAGGCACTGAGTGGGGCTCAGCCCAACCCCATCCCCAAGGAGGCATAGCAGGGCAGGGAGCAGGGGAGTTTGCTGCCCAGGGGACAGGAAGTTACAGGAGTGGTGGGGCCCATGCCAACCAAGGTGTATACCACCTCCAGTCTCTGCTAGGTCTGACCAGGAGATGGAGACGAACCTGTGCAGCTCTGCCCCCCAGAGAGCGGGAGGGATAGAAGCAAGATGACAGCACTATGCTCAAACAAGATATCACCCAATGCAACCTCCACCAGGAAGCCTTTCAGGAACTAGCCCAGCTAAGCGCCTCTCCACCCTCCCACTACTCTCCCCTGGAGGGATGCTGCTGCCTTCCAGACTGGGCTAAGGGGCCTGCAGGGTGTGAAGGAGGGAGAGGAGAAACCCTCAGGTAGACTGGGGCAGCTTTAGGGACCAGCCTTCATGGCAGCCTCGGCACAGGCCCAGACCTGACGCTCACTGGACTACATTGGCCTGGCCTCTTGGTGGGAGGTGGAGGAGGTTCTGATGTCAGGATGTGTGTCCCTGAATGGGGTGCCAACCACCCACACCACAAGGGCCAAGAGTGGAGAATGTGACTCAGGACAGAATTTCCAGGCCAACACAGCACAGAAGCTGGGAGGGAAATAAGGTGCCTGCTTCTTCTGGGGGAGCTGTGCTGGTAAGATGTTTGCCTGCATCACTCTGGGGTCACACCTGCCTGAGAGTAAAGTCAGCACAGAACAAAGCAGAGCTGAAAGATGGAAAATAGCAAGTCCTCGTACCATCATCCAGGCACCTAGATCCAGCTGTGACTGAAGCCATCTTTGGTTCACATAACAGAAAACTCTAAAGGTGCCTTTTCTCCTAAACCAGTTTGACTTAGGATTCCTTCAGTCGAAAGTGATCCCAGCAGGTCGTGGCTCAAAGGGAAGCCAGACAGACATGGAGTCGGCACAGGGAAGCTGAAGTCACCATTGAGTCACTGCTCTGCACACAGATCTCTGGGTCCTGGTGCCCTCACCCTGCTCACCCTCTGCTGCCCAAACCCACAGAAATGGAGGAGGGGAGGTGGGTCCTGTCAGAGGCTGATCCTTGTGTTTGGGGGTCTGGCAGGAGCAGGAGAACTCCTTTGTCTGCCTGACCTTGATCAATAGCAAATACCCACTTATGGAACAAGTGGGCCATCAGTCTCCCTGCCTCCAGCACGGGCGTTTCTCCTCCTGACCCTCAAGACTCCAGCCAACAAACTTGCTAACCAACGTCACTCACATCTTCTTAACAGTGCCGTAAGCCATTGCTTACTGCCTGAGATATTTCCTTTTTAAGGTTTATATGTATTAATATTTAATCTCAACCAAGCACAAAATCACCTGTGCAAGATTGTGGGAGCCGAGGGAATAAGAATCGGTAACAGACAGGTTCCATCTGCTCATCAATGTGTCTCCAGGGTCCGGGGGCTGCTCCAAGCACGCACAGGTGGCACAGAATCTCCCAGCCAGCCAGCAGGTGGCGGCATCTGACCAAAAACAATGGTGCTGCGGCTCCATTTTCAAGATCTGTGCCAGGCTCCCCAGCACCAGCAGGTGGGTCCCCCGTTCCACCAATCCCTGCACACATCCCTGCCTCCGCCCTCTGTGAGCTGCTGAAGGTTCTTGGTTACCTGGCTGTTGGGAAACTGGCCCATCTTTGCTAGATGACCAGGCCCCACCCCCACACTGAGGACATGAGGCCCTGGGCTGGGACCCAGATATTGGCTTTAATTTAACCTCCCAGATGATGCGAACCTACAGCCACCGCTGGGACTCTGCTCCAGGCCATGTATTGGAAACCAATCTTATCTGACTCCATCTGACATTCCCACATCAGGCAAATGCCCGTCAGGCGCCTCCCTGGTCTTCAAATGCGCACGCTCAAGCATACCCTTCCCCTGCACCCCCAACCCCACAGTCCTGAGTCCTCCGGGTAGGAGGTCATCCGACCCCAGCCCCCCACAAGCCCCAAGTCATGTAGGCCTCAGGGTACTGTGGAGCTGATCCGCTGTCACCCCCACAACTCTGCCAGGCCTGGAGGGACAGCCAAGAGGAAGTGCCCCACGTCCCCTGACCGCGGCATGGAGGATGCTTCCCCGGGCGCCTTCGGGGACGGCCTGCCCTCCGCACCTGGCTGTGCTGCGCTGGGCGCCCAGGACCCGGGGCGCTCCACACGGGTGCGGCTCGGGGGTCCGGATGTCCTCTGTGCCCTGCATCCCCTGCTACGGCCCTGCCAGTGCCAGAGGCGGCCCCTGCAAGAGGGACCGAAGGCCAGGCGGACTGAAGCGGGGTCCCTGTGGGACGAGACCGTTTACGGTGGCCACCCCGAGGGGCATCAGGAGGGATGCAGCCGAGAGGCGGGAAAAGCTCTCTTGGGTCTTGCGGCCCCACTCCATCTCCAGTGAAGCCTCCAGCCCCCGGTCCCTGCGCCCCCCACTCCTGCCTGTGGGTCTGCACCAGTGGAGCCGGCTCCGGAAGCGGCGGCCACCGGTCCGCTCCGACGGGGCAGCGAAGCCCCAGCGGGCGCCCCCGCCCTGAAAACAGGAGTGAGGTGAGTGGGCATGCAGCCGGCCCCACGGCCCAGCCCCAGGCGCTGCAGCGAGGAGCAGGGAGGGGGGAAGGGAAGAAGGAAGAGGGAGGAGGGGGGAGGGGG